TGGGGAGCATACTGAGGTAGGAGGGCTTGGAATATCCGATACACGCAAAAGACATTGAGGGCAAGAGGCGCAGAAGAAAACAACAGATAGAATACTGACGAGCTTGAATAAATGGGTGGTGGAACTGGGTTTAAGAAGTATAAAGAAATAAAGACAAAATTTATTTAGAGATACGAAGGAAAGGAAAATGTAGAGAGCCATGGTCAGCTACGTCCTACGGGGACACAGCACATAAAGAAAAGAGGGATAAATAAGGGGAATTCACTCCACACTCAGTACTGTGATCTTGTGTGATGCCTGATCATCATAATCGAATTTTAAATTTGCTTTCGAAGAAAATTTGATCTTTGATGACCTCAATATTTACCGAACTCGCCCCAGATGATTCCAATATAGACTTTGCATTCATTGTCACATGGCATCAGCGAAGTCATCTGCCTGCGAAGAATGTCATATAAGGTAACCTCCATGCTATCAGATGAGGAGTCGCGTCTTACAAGATGTCTGAGACGTCTTGCAAGATGTAAACATTTGGTCGGCGCAGCTGCCTTGCTTTGGATTGGCATAGATGAGACAACAAGATGGTAAGAAGATATATACAAGGCGTATTCCTGAAGTTTTGGGACTTTTTCAGGAGAGACATTCATTAATTTCAAACTACAAAACACTGATCTCCTTCAAAGCAGAATCCTTGTACTTGTAGCTTTCAAGCCACTTTGTGAAGGACTCATGGAAATCATCCGAAATAAATGTCCCAGGACACTTGTCACAGCCCCAATATCTTCAAATCGACTCCTCCTAAGTCTCTCCTTCAGCTTCTGGGACAGCCAAAAGTCACGGAGAAAGTTTTGAACTTTTTTACGCCCGTCTCTGTTAGCACAAAACTTTATTGCATAGCGAGCTTCCAAAATGTTTTCAAATCCCGATTTCATTCTGCTAACTTTACAGCGCTGACAATATTTGGTAGAATGTGTTCAAAGAACTATTACGAACATCTCCTTAAATTTGGAATAACAAAAGTGGCAGGTCAGTCAATTAGAAGTAAATTTATAATTATAACTGCCTCTCGTAAAAAAGAAAAAAAAAAGTCACAACGTTTTTGGGATGCTCATCGTAAGCGCTCCACCAGAGAAGAAATTGACGGAAAATGTCTCACATCCAGGCGAGGACGAAATACACGTTAGGTGAAAGCTCTCAAAGTGTCATACCTAATCGCCGCTATTAAGTGCCATCGTGCGAATGTAAATAATCAGTAAATTACATATGAGAGATTTATTCTCCTGCTCTTGTGAAACTTTATAAACAGCGTATAACTTTTGAAGCACAAATAATTTTTTGTGCCGCCACGGTTTTTTTGTTTTTGTTTATTTTTTTATGGGCATTTTATATATTGATATATATTCAATACTTGTGAAAATCAAAAATGTAATTGACGTTCTAAAATAATCTCGTCAGGCAGAGATTTTCATATGGATATCAGGCATGGTTATAAGGAAATTTTAGTGAATGAAGCCAGTTTGTCATAGCGAGAACCATCTTTTTTAGAACCTCATGGACTGGCGCTACATAATCATAAACAAAAAGCTCTACTAAAAAATAGAATTCGCGTCAATTTAGGATATGTACCAACAATCAAAATGGACGCCGCGTCTAACTCAAAGAGAATATAATAAAATGATTACGATGTTCCACACAACTTCAAAAAACATTAAGAACGAAACACCCATCAGTACTTGAAAGAGAAATAACAGCTAGTGTAATTTGAAAACCTGTGTGCCTGAAAAATCGTTTTAATAGAAAGATTTTATAAATTTCATTGGACTGTACTACTGATCTACATTCAATGAGGTGGACGGACATTTGCGTACTGAACATTAGCGTGCCTGGCAATTATGCACCAGTCAATTATGTACATGGATATTTGCGTCCCTAGACAAATACCTCCCTGGATAATTGCGTATTTCTGATAATTTTTTGAAGTTACTATACTTTCTTTTCTTAAGAGTTGCTAATTGCAAACCAACCTTTAATTATTCTAAACAAGCAAAAAGCTAGTTAAGCTAAATTTTGAAAGAAAAGAAATATTTTAAAGAGTTGTTTAATATAGAAATTTGCGCACCAACACATTTAATAGCTCTAAACAAACAAAAAGGTAGTTACCATATTAAAAAAGAGAGAAAAAAAATTTAAATTAAAAAAAAAAAATTAAGCTAGCAGTTACAGTTCACCCAAACATCTAATCGATTCTGGATTTTATAGATTATATTTTTTATTTGAAATCCGTGACTAAGTTCCAAAAATCAAACACTGGAGGAAAAATATATGTTGACGAGGAAAATTACAGCTACCACTATCATAGGAAAATTGCCGATGAAACAAAACATACTAGTGACGTGTAGAGCGGTCATGCAACTCTGTTAATGTGTTATTGAAATTTAAACAAAAATAAAATTAATTTTTTTAAAATTTTTTTTTTATTCATTTTAAAAAAAAAAAATATGGTTATTACCTATGCTTTTATCAACATGTCTGATAACTGGCTTAAAAACATTATCAAAATTACGCAATTATCCAAGGACCTAATTGGCTAGTACACAATTGTCCAGGACGCAAATGTCCAGGCCGCATCTGTCCTTAAAGAGGTCAATGAATGCTGAATCTTTCCTTATAAAGAAACGGCTAATATAGCCGTTATTATTAGAGAAAAATTTAACATATACTACACATTGATACTAACCCGATAGCCAGGGAGTGAAGAAAAGCCTAACTCTAGTTGCACTGGTTGCTCGGTCAGTGAATCTCGAATTTTCCTTGAAGGAAAAAGCTAATATTATCGTTAACATTACCATTTTATTTAGTTATCATTTCAATAATTTTGAAAATAGAAATAGGCTCTGTTATTCTGTATTTTCTATTGGTGGTCAACTTCTTTCGAATATTATTTTGATTTTTGACTTGATATCCTAGCGAGATATGTAGTTAATCTGGAATTTGTCGTTAATATATCAAAGAATATATATATATACATATATATATATATATATATATATATATATATATATATATATATATAAGAAGATAATATAGACCCCATCCTTAAATGGGAAATATTAAAAAAATGCCCAAAATATAAAGCAGGCCATAAATTTTGCAAATTATGTGCTGAGGAGAAATTAGCCATAGCTTTATATGATCAACCTAACCAGCTATTAAACTCTAAAACTGAAATTCTCAATGTATGTAGACATAAAAAATCTTGGCTACTAAATTAGACGTTTTCCCGTTATTGACTTTCCACTGAGTTTTTTTTTTTTTTGTTGAATAAATATCCCCCCCCACTTAGGTTGTTTTGTTTTTTATTTTGTCACGTGGTATGATTTTAGCTATCACCTATAAATATGTGTTTCTCTTTGCCTCGTTAGCCAAACTTTCCCTGACGATCCGTTTAGGTGAAACCTTGGTAGGTTTGTCTGGCTCACTAGGTGTATCTATCTATCTATCTATCTATCTATCTATCTATCTATATATATATATATATATATATATATATATATATATATATGGCAACTGGTAAGAAAAAAATTCTTTTATATGATAAATCAATCAACCCTGTTTCGAAATTAATTTGTCTTGAGCCATGAGGTATCACACGAAAATGAAAGCACGGCTACTGTTCTGATAGAATCGGCTCCGAGGGGTGGGGGCTAGGTTGAGAAAAATGCAAAATGCATCTAATCAGATACCCTATCGCGCCAAAAGACCAACAACAACGACATATTGCCCGCGTTTCGTTGGATTAATTTTCATTTTAGTCCTTATTAATTATTTGCAGACTACTTAAAGAAGATATTTTAGATTGTTTTTGAGAGAATAACGATTGTTACAGATACTGGTTCTACTAATTAACCCATAACTGGGGGAGAAGATGGATTCCAAGGGTATTTGTGTGAAAGTGAATATAACGAACCCAGCGGGAATTGAAACCTGGATATCCGATTTCCATTTTCGAGACGTTATCCATTGCACTAACCGCACATCCAAGCTTAGTACACCTGGTATTGCTACTCAGTCACTCATCTACGTACTGACTAAATTCTATATTGCTTAACTTTCTTAATGGTGTGTCAATTGAGCTACAACTTCATGCGAGGAAAACTTTTGAGGTCCCTGAAGAACTATAGATTGTTGGATCATATCGTAACTGCAGAGTTAATGCATTGATTGGTTTATTTTTTACGGTTTATCAATGTTTTAAAGATTATTTAAAGAGGGAAATATCTTTTTAGATCGTAAGAATTTCCGAGCAGGGACGGTGCAGTAATAGATAACGGCGCGGATTGAGGAATAGGAGTGCCGAGTTCGAATTCCACTCGAGATCATTATATTCCCGTACGTGCTAATACCTTTAGGAAAGGTATGAATCCATTTCTTTAACCCACAGCTACGGGTAAATAGCAGGACAGATTGGTTGGCAACCGGTCTAGGAGAAGAAAAAAAACTTAAAACCATACTGGAGAGGGTGGGGCACCACCAGGCTATCATACCCTGGAAACAACACTGCTAATACTATCTCTTTAATGAGTCAAGGGTATCTTGTTAATTTTTACTTAAACATGTCCCAATAAATAAATAAATCATACATGGAAGCAGAAGCTTGCAGCAACTGGTATTCCCCATCTACATAGTAACCAGGTTCCGCGTTGCTTAACTTCGGCGATCGTATCATCTGCATATACAAGTTTACAGCACCTGGCATTTCGAAGCTTCCACTCATCGAAGTATTGACCATTTCGGTTATCATACAAGAAACTATGCCTCAAGGTGATGTACCCAAAAGCCGTACTACACGCACATCTAAGGTTACAACACCTGGCATACCAAGTTGGTCACCCATTAAATACAGACCGGGCTCGACGTTGCTTAACTTCGGTTATCGTATAGGATCTTATGCTTCAAAGTGATGTAGCCGTGAGCCGTACCAACAGCACATTTAAGGTTAAACCACCTGGTATTCCCAGGCGGTCACCCATGTAAATACTGACCAGGCTTGACGTTGCTTAACTTCGGTTATCGTACGTAAACCAATACTTCAAGGTGACGTAGCCGTACCACCCGCACATCTAAGGTTAAAACACCTGGCATCACCAGGCAGTTACCCATCTAAATACTGACCAGGCTTGACGTTGCATATGTCCGTGAATGGAGTCATAACCAATAATTCAAGGTGTTGTAGCCGTAAGCCGTACCATCCGTATCAATGGTTACAGTCCCTGGTATTTCCAAGTAGGCACCCATGTAGGTACTGACCAGGCTCGACGTTGCTTGACTTCGGTGGTCGTACGGAAACCGACGTTACAACGTGATGTAATCGTAAGCCTCATGAATCAAAGAGAACGTATTCCAAATTAGTTTCACTGACAATAATGCGTTGAAATTCCCGCCGTAGTCTTTTATTTAGCAGGCAGAATGATTCGTATTCAATATTAGTGGATTAAGACAAACGTTTGTATTCTGTGTCTATATTTTTGAGATGAGGTATTATGTACACTATTTACATTATTTGAACTATTGTCCTCATCTTGGTCGCCATATTTATAACAACGCTTTGGGCTTTCGCTATCTGTCTATATTTCTGAGATGACGTATTATGTAGACTATCTACATTATTCAGACTATTGTCCTCATCTTTGTCGCCATATTTATTACAACATTTCTGCTCTTCAGTATCTGTCTATATTTCTGAGATGAGGTATTATGTAAACTATTTACATTATTCAGACTATTGTCCTCATCTTTGTCGCCATATTTATTACAACATTTCTGCTCTTCAGTATCTGTCTATATTTCTGAGATTAGGTATTATGTACACTATTTACATTATTCGGACTATTGTCCTCATCTTTGTCACCACATTTATTACAACGTTTCGGCCTTTCAGTATCTGTCTATATTTCTGAGATGAGGTATAATGTACACTATTTATATTATTCGGACTATTGTCTTCATCTTTGTCGCCGTATTTATTATAACGTTTCGGCAGTTACGCTCCGGCCTTCTTCAGTTGGTTGGAATGTCGAACTGAATACTTTATTTCGCTCACTGCGGTAGACTCTTCTAGTTCCACGTGCCATGTATAATGGACGTCAGTTATCAATTATCTCCTGTTAATTTTTAAAGAGTGTGAGTTCAATACCTGGTCAAGAATTTGGAGGGGAATTAACAGGTGATAGCTAATAACTGACATCCATTAAACATGGCACATGGAACTAGAACAGTCTACCCTAGTGACCGAAATAAATTGTTCAGTTCGACATTCCAACTACCCGAAGAAGGCCAGAGCGTACAACCGCCGAAACATTGTAATAAATATGGCGAAAAGATGAGGACAATAGTTCGAATAATGTAAATAGTGTACGTTTGTTTTCTTCTTCAATAGGTGACGTTAGAACTCGTAATTACGTTACACACCTGACTGAGAGTAATTATATACGTATTTGAACTCGTCTTTCTATATGGTGTTTCTCTGTTCCTTATGAATTTTGAATGGTTTTACATTAAAGTTGAAAATGGTGGAAAATGAGAACAACTTTTGTCATCTGATGCTCTTATTTCTGGAATGAAAAAAAAATCCATTACAAACAGCAAAAACGGTATTCATGGCGAATGTACTATAGCTGGATGGTTCGTAAATGGTTCGGAATGCTCAGAAATTAAATTCTTTAACTGGAAAACCAAGAACAACAGAGCTTATAGCCATTGAAGACAAAATCATAACGCTGATTGGTTTGGTCTGGTTTATTTTGTTTTACGGCATATCAACCTCGATAGGTTATTTAATGCCGACAAAATGTTTTATTGCTGGAAATATTTTGTTTTGTCAAAATCCTGATTCTCGTAATATTTTTCCTTCCAAATTTTATTGCTACTAATGATTTTTTTTTCAAAAAAGTATTGCTGGTAATAGTTAACTATTTGCCCATATCTGGGACCCTAACAGGTGCTACCACACCGGGTCAGAGTGGACTGGGAATACCAGCAATTAAAAGGTGGTCCCACGCCCCTCAAAACCTCCTGATCAGAGGCCTTGCTGCTGGATGTAGTTTATCGTCTTACCCTGGACACACAAGGCTGATTAATAGTTACACAACACAGGATATCAGAGAGAGGACCTGCCTATCTCATAAGTGTGCTGGAAAGTAATTAAAAAGTATTTGAATGAGAAAATCTTTATTACCCTTCTGTACCTCACAAATTAACTGCAAAAATCATTCATCATCCATTTTTTTTTTTAAATCAACCAGCTTCAAACAGGAAGACTCAATACGAACTGTTTCAGGTGAATGAATAAACTCTGTCGAATCTTTTACATAGCTAGGAAGCAAAATAAATTATACTGAAAAGAACGTAAAAATTCGCATAGTTAAAGCGTTGGTGCCTTTAATAAAGTGGATGAAATCTGGAAATCTAATCTACCAGAAAACATCAAGCGGGATATTTTCATCCACTGTAGAGGCGGTTTTAATGTGTGGTGCCACTGCCTGGACATTAACTAAAACCATAGTGTCTAAACTTTATGGAACCTACACTCAGATACTAAGAGCTCCACTTGACATCTCTTGGAGATAACGTTCAACTATATCACAGATCTATGCAGCCATTCCTGATAATATTAAAATCTTGCACAAACGCAGACTACGCTTTTCAGGACACTGCTGGAGGGCAACACAAGAACTTGTGAGTGATCACCTGCTCTGGACACTAGACATGCCGTAAGATGTGATGGCCACCCAGCGATTTTCACCGTATATAATATGACAAAGAATGCCACTCTAATGGTCTTGCGACTTTGATGAAGGAAAGGTGATAGTTGACGTGACAGACTCCTAGCTTGACGCAATACAAAAATATAAATATAAAATTGTGATGGGTAAAACGAAATGATGTGCCGTTAACCATTCTTCGTGCGAATAGGTGAGGTTTCTTCTGGGATTTAAAGGTCATTATGTCAAGAATTTCTTCTGCAAAATGAGACATTGATTTCAGAAATTTACCGTTCCTTTTTTTCACGAACCAAAGGCAGCGATCGATGAAAATACCCCCAGAACTGGCCAATCTGAAGTGTGTCGACTTCCCTCAGGACGTCACCAAATCTCACTTCTCTTCTATTCGAAGGATCGATAAAAATTTGTACAAATTTGTTGAGATGTTTTGCTCCACCTTGTTAGACATTTTCATGACGGTCTTCCTAGAGTATAGAATCCAGAGGTTGGCAGTGAATATTTTGGAGACAGTAGGAAATCGTAGTGCAGGTTCACAGTCGATATCGTACCAGAGCGTAGTTCTTCCTTCTGTCGTTTTAGCCTAACAAGTTGGCTCTGGTCATTCCGGTAGAGAAAACAAAAATGGTCGCCTTTATACATGACGGATACAGTGTTCTGCGGCTTCTGATTGGTTAATCTTCTATTGGTAGACTATAAAGGGAAATAAGTCATTTTGACTCGCTCACTAGTTATATGGATATATACACAAAAAACCGTAACACACCTGCCCTAATTAGCTGACCTTGCATTTTCCACTTATTTTGATCTATACAAAATTTTCTTAACGTCATGAAAGTCAGTTCTCCAGAAGCCTGTAGAAACGAATTAGACCAGTTCATTACCCAGAAAGATAGCAAGTTCTGGGAGATTATAATCCTGAACCACCCGTAAAGATGGCAAAAATAAATAAATTAATGTATTATTATGGAATTTTTTTCCGTAAAAAAATAGGGTGTTCCAACCCCAAAAATATATTACAGAAGAATCCCTCATATCCGGAATCCCGCATATACGGAGTGCCTCATATCCGGAATCCTGCATATCCGGGCATGATTTTGATGTGTATATTTGAACTATTTGGGTGATGTGTAACTGATTTACAATTTCTGCTTTTCAGGAAATTTCCTTTCGATAAATGTATTTGCTTATTTCACGCTGATGGTTTGCATTGGTGAAAAAGATGATTGGATTAAGAGGAAAGAATGGCAATGAGGACCATCTGCAACAAGAGAGCGACGGAATGCATGCCTGTGATGAAACCTAAACTGAAATTAAAAATGCTATTGAAAAGGTTGTCAGTTTTATGGAAAGAAAGCCAGAATTCAGCTATGTCGATTTCAATAACTCACGCGGAGTTAAAAAGTCCCGTTCGTTTAAAAATTTCAAAAACAAAAGCAAAACGAAATGCGGAAATAGTTGAGAATGACATTAGAAGAGAAAGAATCATCATGCAACAGAGATTAAAACATCATTGTTACATAATTTGTTTTGCATACGTGGAATACTTAATTTAATTAATTTTCATTAGCATTACATAATTTATTTCTATTTTCTCAAAATAAATTCCGTTATATTTCATTCACCATTAACTCATCTTGTTTACTATAAAACATTGAAAATAAATGTTAAACCTGATTTCAGTTCTTTTATTTTAATCTAAATATAACTCCTCATATCCGGACTTTGTAACCAAATCCTCATATCCGGAAGGCCTTCTTAGTCCGGATGTCAGGAATTATCGTTTATTTTATTGACGTCCATTTTGGCCAAATTCGAAGCAGTCATAGACTCGGCGTAAGTTTCAACCTATCCCAGTATAAGGAGATATAATTGTTGTGCCAGAAAAAAACGTAATGAACGTTTTGAGGCCTTACATTGTAAACCGACTGGAGTATGTCGTGAAGTGTTTGAAATATAAGGCAAATCCTTCTTTCTGTGTGCAATTTTTGATGAAAGGTTTTTGCTCATAGCATATGGAGAAAGCAAAACATCAATAAGTGAAGAGATTTTTTTTTTTTTTTTAATCAAGAATGGAATTCTGAAAAGAAAAATAAATATATCTTATAAAAATACAGTAAAGGTAGATTCCGAAATGGAATTAAATAATAAAAATATACAATTACTTACAGAATCCTCGCTTCCTATTTCTATCATTTGCATTTAGGAATTGTTAGCCTCCTCTCTCCCCATCTCTCTATCAATCTCCTTTTATTTCTCTCCCACATGCCCTCTCTCTCTCTCTCTCTCTCACACACACTTTCTCTCTCACTCCTTCTCACTATCTCAGTCACAACATTTCTCTATCTTCTTCACTCCCTCCGTACCTCTTTCTCTATCTTCCCCCCTTAATCATCGTTTTCGATTTCTCTTTCTATTCTTCTGTCTTCCTTTCCCTCCTTCTCTCTTTCACCCTCTCTCTGCATGATTAGTCAGTGTGCCGATAGCATCTCTCCGATAATAAATGTTCGAATATCGATAGCGTAAAATACTACTTCCGCCGATGAATGTAAATCAGATTTATCGGCATGATTTTTTTTACTATACCTCTTGATT